TCGCGGCCCAGCTGGTCACGGTAGTGGCCCGACTGACGAAATTCGTTCAAAACTTGCAGCGGCAACGGGTGGCAGTTGCAGAACGACAACAAACTGCCATGCCCGTCGGTACCCCTATGACCCGACCAACCGCAGCAGGAGTCGCCCAGCCTCTGCGGTGCTACAACTGCAATCAGTCGGGCCACCTTGCGAAGGACTGTCCGAAACCTCGAACTCAGAATGGGCCCGCGGGGGCCACCGGACCTTCCCAAATCCCGTTAGCTGCTCCAACCGCTGCAGGACAAGGGAGGGTAGCCACAGTGATGAATGGTGACCCCTGCGGCCACCGAGATAGGACCCGATGAGTATATGGCTGCGGCGATGTTCGAACCGGGGACCATTGGAGTGATACGTCACGTCCAAAGGATTACCGAGGAAAGCGACCTCGGGCCTTGGCGGCCGGGGTTCGAAGATCTGACGGCCCCTGGCCCTGAGTACAAAGACGGTCACATCGACGTGTTGGATGCATGGAAGGCTCTGGATCTACGGATCTCCGTCCCTATTCCCTACCTGCTAACCATTTACGAAGCGGCTAACGAAAAGTTGATCGAACGATGCCTCAAGAACAGGCGCTGATTCGAGGAAAGTCAAAAGGGCAAAAAGTCGGTCCTACGAGACCTACCCACAAACGAAGAGTCACAACCCTCGACCTCAAAGGTGCACGAAGCAAACCGGGTAGGAATGATCCAGACCGTAGATCCTGCGTCGGAGAAACCTGAGGTATTCCTCCGAGCCTACCCTATAACCTGGAAAAGCGTTGAGTGTGACTGCGAGGTCTGGGGAAACCCCTCGGCCGCCATCCTAGACTCGGGATCGTTAGCGGTCGCCATTTCTTGGAGATTGACGAAACAATTGGGAAGGGAAGGACAGGTTCAGCCCCTCCGACCGGATGAACTGTATATATCCGCTACGGAGGACAACATTCATTGTAAGGGGCAGATAACGAACGTGCCTATACGAGTCGGGCGGGTGCATTGTTTGTGCGACGCAATCGTACTGGATGTACAGGCGTATGATGTTTTGCTAGGCATTCCATGGCAGGCGGCGGTCGGAGCGCGAATGCACTTTGACAGTTGTAAAGTGGTGCTCACATCGGCCTACCCCAAACCACAAACGATACCGATGAGATTGGCGGTGCGTATGCACACCCAGCCGGCGCCTCGAATCACTACGAAAGCCCATCAAATCAACATGATCCAACGCCTGTCACCAGGCAAAAATGAAACTTTATTGGAAACTGACGAGACTGATGTACCCGACCGATATCTGATCCAGGTTCAGGATCGGTGGCGCCACTCCTGGCGACGAGAACCTATGGAAATAGTTCGGAGCGAGTCCGATTGGTCGCACGCGTTCTCCTCCGTGGTGCAGGGAGAACCCCTGCTGAGGGTGTCGCGAATAACTGACATTTCGGAACCCCTTGCGTCCTTATATCTTAGGACGGAACCCCTACCCGAAAGGTTTACGGAGCTTAGGGGGTTGTGCGATTTGACCTTTTTGCCTCTTAGGCCCCTACTTACGAACGCGAAAGCCGCCCTGCTCTTGAAGGAAGGGGTGTCGTTTCAACCCCGAACGAGGGAATATCGATGGAGGCCGAAGGAGCTGTTACAGGCCTTTTCAGTGGAACCCTCAGCTGAAACCGAGCTCGAGAATGACAGTGACATGGAAAACGAACCGATAAGACCAGCAGACAGTCAACTCATCGCGACCTTGCTTTCGGCAAAAACCGACAATTCGCTGTTTGGGGCCTCACCCGAAGCCAACGCGGCAGTCCCCACGGTTACATCGACGATCTCCCTCCCTGAGGGAAACGTGGACGTCCGGCTGCCGGCCCATGTGCCTGACGACTACAAGCGCCTTCTTTTGGCAGTTATACGGGCCTACCCAGAGGCTGTCAGCATCCAGGACCACGATATAGGACTTACCCACCTGATCCAACACGCGATTGATACCGGCGATCGCGCTCCGATACATTGCCGACCGTACCGCTATTCCATAAAAGAAAGACAGCTGGCCTTGGAAAGGGTACGGGAGTTCGAGCGGTTGGGGTTGGTTGAACCATCGCTTGGACCATGGTCATTTTCCGTGGTCCTCATGCCAAAACGAAACGGTTCAGTCCGAGTGTGTATTGACTACCGCAAATTAAACGCTATTACTACCAAAGATGTCTATCCGCTGCCGCGGATTGACAATCTGTTGGATGTTATCGGATCCGCTCGGGTCTTTTCGAAGTTTGATATCCGACACGGTTTTCACCACGTCGTTGTCCGACCGGAAGACCGGCCCAAAACCGCTTTTGTCCTGTTCGAGGGCACGTGGCAGTGGATCTGGTGTCCGATGGGAATTTGCAACGCCCCTGCAACATTCCAGCGGGCCATGAATATGGCCTTCGCCGAGTTCGTTAACAAAACCCGTTTGACACAGCCGTTGATAAATTTCTGTGTGATTGTGTACATGGATGACATTTTGGTCTTTTCCAAAACCTACGAATACCATGTGGAACATATCGAATGGGTGTTGCATGCGTTGAAAGATGCGGGGTTCAAAGTGGCTCTGGAGAAAAGTGAGTTTTTTCTGTCCGAAATTTCCTTTTTGGGCTACATCGTCACGGTCGAGGGACTGAAACCTGATCCCAAGAAGGTAGTAGCGGTCCGAGAAGCCTCGGCCCCTGTCACGCTCACTTAGGTTCGAGCCTTCCTAGGGCTGGCCTCTTATTATCGATGCTTCATTCGGGGCTTCGCCTGCCTCGCCAAGCCGCTGACGAACCTGCTGAAGAAGGAGGAGCAGCTGATCTGGACGCCGGAATGCGAGGCGGCTTTTCAGGCACTCAAGGAGGCTCTGACATCGGCGCCCGTGTTGGCGCGTCCCGATCCGACAAGACAGTTTGCGCTGCACACCGACTGGCAGCCGCAGGAGATATCGGCGGTGCTGACTCAGCAAGGAATGGATGGAAGGGAGCACGTCATCGAGTATGCGTCGAAAACGCTAAGCCAGGTGCAGTCAAACTACGAGGCATGCAAGGGTGAGTGCTTAGCGGTGGTGTGGGGGGCTCAACACTTTCGACCGTATCTGTACGGCCAGAAGTTCGTGCTCGTGACGGATCATCAGCCATTGCTGTCCTTGCGGAACAACACGGACTACACGGGTACCTTGGGAAGGTGGGCGGTGAGATTGCAGGACTACGACTTCGACATCCGCCACCGTGCCGCCACCGTGCCACCAGGCAGCACGGGAACGCCGACGGTCTGACGCGCCTCCAGCCGCCGAACAAGAGTCCCGCGAACGAAAAGCTCATCTCGTGGAAGCCGATTTCGCCTTCGACGGAGCCCAACTACGGGGAGGTGAATGTCCTCCGCAAGGGTACTGCATCAATCGGAGATGGCGATCTCCCCTGAGGAGGCCGCCACCCCTTCTCCCCTTCCCTATTCTTTAACCCCCTATCCTGACCCTGACTCCCCTCCGAGCACGCCTTCCCAAGTCTGTTTCTTCTGCACCTTGCCCATGATACCAGACGGGGGAGATCCTCCTCTCGAGGGGCCTAGGTACAATGTAGTCAATGTCACATCGTTCGGTCCCATGGGAGTTGCGCCCGGTATCGGAATGAGAAAAGTTGGAACTGTCCCAACTATCGAACGGACCACGTACCTACGGAAAAACGGTATCTAGAAGCCAGAACGGCAGACGGATTTTTGCCAAGTGTCCACCGAGCGGAAGTCTGGACGGATCTTTTGCTATTACGGAGACTGACATGCGACCCGCTGACGGAACTTACCAAGACTGAACGGCGACGTGTCACGGAACAGGCGCACGATTACCGCTAGTAGGGATCCGTCCTTCAAAAGCGAAAACACGATGACGTCGACGGATCTAGTTGGCTGACGCTTCCACACCCACAGCCCAGGTTCGATTGGACACGAGCCGCCCACGAGGAGGATGCGGTCCACTTTGCAGTCAAATACACGGAAAAAGCAATAGAGAAAAACGGATGGTACTGGTCGGGAATCCGGGAAGATGTGAAATACATCGTCCACACTTGCCCGGCCTGTGCGGCCGATAAGGCGCCGATACAGATGCCCCGTACAATAGTGCCTACCCGGGTAGAGCGCCTCTTCCAACAGGTCAGTATCGATACGACGGACATCAACGTGCCGAGAGACCCTGTTGATCAAGGAGAACTCAATGTTCTTCTTGTAGTCGTAGATCATTTTTCGAAATGGATCGAAGCGTATCCAATGACCAGTCGTAACTCGCAGGAAGTAGCCTAGTATATTAATCGCTTTCTGTGCATGCACCTGGACGTAGAAGAGATACATATGGACAATGGATCTGAGTTCCAGGGGGAAGTAGAGCGACATCTTGTAAGGGCAGACGTTAGAATTTCGTACTCCCCAGGGCACTGGCCCCAAGCCAATGGGCTCGTAGAGAACGCCAACCGAATGATCAAGACTGCACTTAGACGGAATATCACGACAGGTGATACCAGGCCCTGGCCTGTCATAGTCGACCACATTTTGGCCGTCTATCGGGCTACTCCCCACGGGAGCACCGGGGTGTCCCCGTTCCAACTGAGAACCAATAGCGTCCCCAGAGTGCAGTTGTCACCTCTAGTGGGTACGGAAGTTAGAGTAACCCGGGCCCAACACAAGGACAACTTGAAGGCCCAGCATTACCTGGATCTGATGGCCCGGACCTATCCCGCATTAGCCCGAAGGCGACAAAGGGCCGTAGATCTGACGCATCAACGGCAGATCCGGGACTATGAGAACTGACACGCGACAGCGGGACCAATGCCCTGTTATAAGATCGGGGACTTGGTGCAGGTACGGAAATCTGCGCGCTCCTCCAAGATCCACCCACGCTATACCGGCATTTACGAGGTGACAGAAGTTGGCGCACGAGGACAACACTCCGTGAAGCTGGTCTCCCGGCATAACACGCAGCCCAGGTCGCTTACGCGACATGCGGCAGCTCTTCGACTGTTTCGGCCATCTCCGGGCCACGAATCGGCTCTTGCCCCGTCCGAGCCTTTGTCCTCTCTCTCCCCCTCTCCTTCTTCGTCTTCTTCCTCTTCCCGATCTGCCTCGTCCCTAGGTGCTGAGAGTCTCAGGGAGTAGGATGAACCATCGCTTGTCAGAGCATGAGCCCCTCGAGCACTTCCACACGCCGCTTGCCGATCGCTTGTTGCGGCACCAGTTCAATGAGGAAAGGCAGTTGCGATACGATATTCAGCAGGTGAACGTGCCAGCATCCGGGGTTGCTGATCTGGCGACATACTCGTTACTTTGTGATCGGCTGACGTATGCGGGGGTGTACGTGGATGTGACGCAGTTGCTTGGGCGGGAGACGACTCGAGTGTTCATAGAGTTCCCCGCGCCCAGGTGGCACCTAACTTCGTGCATAGCGTCGCCACCTTTATCAGAGACTGACGATTCTGCCGCAGCCGAATTGGGAGCCGGTGCGAAGCTTTGTGCGCGAATACGCGGTGCAGGCAGCGAGATCAGTGGCCAGAGTGCAAGGACGGGGAGGACACCGATTCACAGCCCACGAAGCGTTGTTACGCAGGGCAGAGGACGGACCAATTGTGATGGTGCCACAACTCCCCGCGCTTCTTCCTCCCGCCGTCCCTCTCAACATCCAAGCTATTCCCCCTGCCCCATACTAAATACCTCCCTTTTTCTCTTACACCACTTTCCGCTATCAACTCACGGAGGGCCCCTATCCTATGCGCGAGTTCTCGAAGTATTTGGTGGAGCTAACAGATGTGGAGCCGCTGCCCTTCGCAGACGAAGACTCGTGGGAGTTGCATCGTGCGGTATATAAGTCGGTGGCATTGGGGATGTTCCGATTTTTCGTGGATCACGAAGACCACTCCATCGGGGAGCACTTCGTCGTTTATTACGTCATCACACGGCCCAAGCCAGCGCAGAAGGAGGGGATGGTGGCGTTGTACCCATTTGCCCAGCTCCAGACGACCGATCTGGGATTGTTGGAGCTCATACATCTTGAGCTCCTATCCATTGCGCAAGTGATCGCGAGCGAGGAAGAGGAGATCCAGCCACGATTGCGGACGGCGGCTGCCCCGCGGAGAACGTACAACGCGGTCGTCATCCCGGATTACATTGCGCAGCGTGAGGAGAGGTTGGAGGACTTCCCTGAGGAAAAGCCGCTGTGACCTCCCTCATCGTATCCCAGAACTGCGCCGCCAAAGGCCCCCAAGAAGACGCCAAAGAGGAAGAGACACCACCCATCGCCAGGAGCGCAAGGTAGCCGAATCAGTGGCGGCGAGGAGGTGGTTTAGCCTGTGCACGTGCGGAATCCCGACCCTATGCCTGTGAGTGCGGTGACGCTGGTTAAGGAGACTGTTGTGCCATCGCCGCCCCTCCCGCGCGTGCCCGATCTCAATCTTGATGGAGCCGGGCCATCAGCCGCAGCAGCCGGAGGAGGGAGCCGAATGGGATTACCGGATCCCGTACCCAGACCCCCCATCCTCGGGGGACCTTTCCGCTTCCGCCAGCCACCCCGGAGTGCCCCGATCATTGACATTAGCAGTTCTTCCGAGCCGGACGGTCCATCCGACAGAGGTAAATTTCATGGTGGAGCCCACCACCATCAGGCTCGAGGCTATTGTGGGGGCGCCGCGCCCTGATCCGACGTGGGAGTCATATCTGACACCCTCTTTTCAAGGGTGTATCGCGGCGCGGCTGGCGGGGACGCTCATCTACGAGACCGGGCAGCGCCCCAATGTGACATATCACTTCCTTGTCTTCGCGGCGCAGAAGCGGGAGCGACTGAAATTAGGGGACTCAGATTTGTAGCGTAGTGCCGTAGCTTTAGGGGCAGTGGCGGGAAAAGACTGAAATTTGAGGCCATGCCTGACCAACAATCATAGAGTTCTACACAATGCCATGTGAACACAGTTTTACAGATGTGTCAAAAGAGACGGTCACCCAGGGTATACTCAGGTAGGGCCCTGGGCCCTCCCTGTGATAAGCTCAGACCCGTACCGCACGGCTTGCCGTATCCCTGAGGAAAAATTCCCCGGAAGCCTCGAAGTACGGATGCGAACAGAAAGGGGTTTTTCTTTCTTTTTACTTTTGTTTTCTTTTTTAAACGACTTTTTCACTTTTCTTTGGCTAATAACTCCCGCACGGGCGAATAGCGGCCGCAGTATGAAAACCAAGAAACGGTTTCGGTTGGGACTTTTTGAATTTTTTGCGTGCGCGCGCCTAAGCTCCGACTTCTTCGCGCGCCTCGCACCCCCGTTTCTTGCTTTGCATCCCCGCGCCATCTTCCTTTCTTGCTGCGCGTGTTTCCCCCATGCAGGACTCTTCGTCTTCCCCTACACCCAGCTCGATCCCCACCCCGTCTTCCTTCGCGAGTGAATGGCTGCGTAGTTGGGATGCGCGGATCAATATGGAAGGCGAAAAGGCGCACCACTTGAACGAACACCCCAATCACGCCTGACCACGCGACTTCGCAGAACACCCCTTCCGAAACCCTCCACCCTTCTTTTGTCCTGCTCGTCCACAACCGGCGCTGCCTGCACCTCGCGCTGACAACCCGCCGCCTCCCACGCTATAAATTGTCACAACCCCCTCCTCTCCTCCTCTTTGATCTCGGCTGCAATGCTGCGCGAGCTATGCGCGAACGTCCGCGACGCCGAACAGGCTTGACAAGCCCAAGTTACGGGCAGGGTAACGACGTGGGTCGGGCTTAGTGATAGACTCACGGTAAGCCAGCTGGAGGGATTGAGCAGTGGTGGAGATCGAGAGCCGATCACGACAGGGTCTTGTGGCTATGGTGGTCGGTGGTCCTTGGGAAGTTCGCGGTTGCGTCTGAGGGCGTCAGCCAATTGAATTGTTTTGTGTACAAGGAAACTCGCTTCCTTTTCTCCATTGCTGCTTTGTCTCCGTGAGATGTATGCAACGTCCCGTCGAGTGGGTAATCGGTTGTATGCATGGGGGTGAGTCGCGGTGAGATGGTTTGTGAAGGGGTGTGAGTCTGCGTATGCATGTATGTGGTCCTTGGGTATTGAGTGGCGATTGTCTGCCTGGATGCATGATTAAGTCGGCCATCGTACCCCTTTTTCCTTTTGCCGCGTTCCCCTATTAGTTTCGTTGCTCGATCGCGTAGGGCGAGGGCCTTCGTGTGCTGAAGGGATCCCTTCCGTCCTGCGCGCTCGAGTCGGAGTCCCGCGGCGCCGACATCTGACGTGGCRCATCGCTGTYGAGGACCGGAGACGTTCGCTGTGCCCGCTGAAGGTGGTCAGCAAACGGCTCCGCCCCTCCTTCGGACCCCTCTGGTTGAGTGGGGCCGCACCCGAGAGAGAGAGAGAGAGAGAGACGTTGTCGCTTGTTGTATGGAGACGGGCTCCCAATCAAGCACGGGTTCTCGCCTGTGCACTTACCCCGGCTCCGCGCGTCGCCGTGCACTCCCGATTTTCCCCATTGTTGACGACGACAGCGTCTACTGCGACTCGGACGTACGGAGTGCCCTACGACGCACRGAGCAGCTTTACTGGCGCAACCCCGAACGGGCTTGCCACATCRCGGGGGAAGGGTTTGTGTTGATAGACCGCTTTTCTTCCCCGCCCCTTATACTGCCTTACATCGACCTGACGATGCTCCCCTGGTCTGCGGCTTGCGCTGCGTGGCGCCCCCAGTTTGGTTGCCGTTGGTGCCGGTAGGGGGACTCCTGCTCGTGGCGAAGGCTGGTTCTGGGGTACAAAGGAGCTGCCTGGTTCCCTGAACTCTCCCAGGACGCCGGAGCTCTCCCCGCCCGTTTCCACACCTCGACCGCGGCAACAGCCACCGCCCGTCGAATTCCCACGGCTGTGAATCCCCGAGCCCTCGACGAACCCGACGACAAGGATTGAGAATTGGCGCAGGGGAATCCATCGCCCTTTACGCAAAGCAGGCCCGACGAGGAATAGGTCCCCCCTCCCTCCTTTTTCCCCATCTAGAGAAACCGGGTTGGGCCCGTCCGTTCACCCCGTTCTCCTCCCTCTTTGTTTTTGGTAATCCTGACCAAGGATCGAGCCCCATCTAGATTAACTTGGTTTCAATACTAGTTAGATCATCAAGTTAAACACACACGAAGCGACTCGACGGACACTCCTCGGCCGTCTATCTAGTCATTTTTCAATACTTATCATATCAACAAGTTAATCACACAAGAAGTGACTAGATGGAGACACCTTGACCCTTTATCCAACCACTTCTCAATACCAATCAGATCATCAAGTTAAACACACATGAAGCAATTGAACGGACACTTCTTGACCCTCTATCCAGTCACGTGTCAATACCAGTTAGATCATTAAGCTAAACACACACAAAATGACTCGACACACACTCCTTGGCCTTCTATCTAGTCACTTCTCAATATCAATCAGATTATTAAGTTAATCACATAAGAAATGACTGGACGAACACTCCTTGACCCTCTATCAAGTCTGACTCACTTGTCAATACCAGTCAAATCATCAAGTTAAAGACACACGAAGCGACTGGACGAACACTCCTGGACCCTCTATCGAGGCACTTCTCAATACCAATCAGATTAATAAGTTAATCACACAAGAAGCAACTGGACGAATACCCTGTGACCCTTTATTCCGTCACTTGTCAATACCAAACAGTGCATCAGAATTATTCACTTTGTATAACACAGCCCTAAGTAACCTTCATCTCCTCCAACAGAAAACTCATAATTCCTTAGTCTCAAGTTTTTTGGGATATCATACTTACCTCCTTTCTTTTTCGTACACACTTTTCTTATACTCACATTATTCCTTCTGTCTCTTGAAATTATTTAATCCAAAGAGATTCAGGCATTATATACATTCACATGTGCATGCAGAGAGATAGTGAGGTGTAATTGTAAGGGGGTTATGGAGTAGAAAGAAATGCGTACCTGTAGTTCCTTGCCTTCAGAGTTCCGCCCGAACTCGGACAGAGCACCCTCAATCGCCCAGTATTCAATTTTAGATGATACTCATGCAAATGCTTTTGAATCAACGGTCATCATTTTCAGGCAAATAGAATGCACATACCATAAAATACGAAGACTACTATACCACATCTTGGATCAAATCTAATTACTTGACTCAAGCATGGACGACACGAGTACTCAAAATATCGCCAACATACTTCATATTTGAACGTTCCAGATAAGGATGTTATAGCGATTACACCACTCTCGAGTTAGTGTCAGACCATGCTTGTTTAATAATATAAGTTAGGACTTCTTTCAACTATTATTAACAGTGGTCACTACTTTGCAATCCCTTGCACCAAATTTTCTTTAACCTTTAGTGCATTGACTCCTTTCTCTTCCCCTCTCTTTCTCTTTCTTACATACTTATTTTTCTATCATTTTCTTTAAACATATATAATTTAGCCTTAGTGTCCACACCCTTTCTCTCTTCTCTCTCTTTTTCTTCGAATCCATCCCCTTATTGGTTGTGATGTTTCTCTCATGCCAAGGCCGTTAATGACAGTTGTCAGTATTCGTGCCTTCCTTACTAACTCTCTTCTTTGGTCAAGGGTCATTGTCATGCCTCACCTTCCTTCTGTCAATTGTCGTATTCTCTGGACGTCCACAACCCAATCACTAAGGTCAGTCGCGATGCACCGTCATTAAGAACGGTTGTTGGGCTCGACTGTCGCCAGTCCCTATGAGACCCAGATTGATAAGAAGTACTCTCAGACTGTTGTTTGATTCCCCTGAACCTATAAGAGAAAAAGTGGTCTAAGTGGCGAAGGAGAGGAAGAAGAGTCAAAGAATCATTGTGGTCCAGCTAAGAATCAACCCTGAGCCACACCATCCATGTCTCCTTACCTTCCTTTCTTCTAGCCTTCAGCAGTCCCGCCTTTCTCTCTCTCTCTATTTTTTACCCTTAATCGTAGCTCTGGGTACTCCTACTCAGGTAGGTGCTTACCGTGGTGGCCACGGTCACCAATCTCCTCCTTCTATTGCCACAGTTATGGCTAGGGCACGTGCCTTTTTCTACCCCACCGGCATGGAGTGCCCAAGCTGTCCTAACGCACAAGCAGCAGTCGATGCTATACTACAACAACTAAATATAGAAATTAAAGTGACATGATGTGCTATTAAACCGGTACCGGTCGACCGTCTTTTCTACCACAATTATTTTGTCAGTGCGTTGCTTCCGGTCTTCCCTGGATACGCTATAGAATCGATGTTTGGGACTTGTCAGACTGAAGTGGCTTTTCTTGTCGGGTACGA